AGTATGCTAAATCACCCTCCATAAACTGTACGTCCCTTCTCTTCTTGTTTGCTTGCTGGACCATCCGATTTTGTGCCTTGATGAGATTTTGGTGCAGTTCTTGTAAGGTAGCATCCCTCTCCATTAAAGCTTGAGACACCTCATCAATAGCAGACACAAATTGATTAGCTTTAAGCAATGTAGGAGGGTCTATACCATACAAAATTTTGAAAGGTGTAAAACCCGTTGACTCCTTGTAAGTAGTATTGTACCAATACTCAGCCCACGAGATCCACTTGGGCCATTGCCGAGGCTGAGTACCACACATACAGCGCAAGTACACTTCCAGACACCGATTGACCACCTCGGTTTGGTCGTTTGCTTGTGGGTGGTAGGCTGTTGTGTAGTGGAGTTTGGTACCAGCTCATTTAAAAATCTCAGCCCAAAACGAACTCATGAACAAGCGGTCCCTATCAGACACAATAGTAATAGGGAAACCATGTAGCCTCACCACCTCTTTGATAAATAAATCAGCCACCTCTTTGGCCGAGTAAAGATGTTTGAGTGCTAAAAAATGTGCATATTTGGAGAAACGGTCTACCACCACAAAAATGGTGTCTACCCCCGAAGCCTTTGGCAACCCTCCAATAAAATCTGTAGATACATCAGTCCATACCTTACTGGGGATAGCAGTGGCTGGAGTAGGCCTGCTGGTGACAAATTCTGAGTTTTACTTTGGCTACAGATGACACACGCAGCCACAAACTCTTTAATGCTGGTCTTTGTTCCCTCCTAATAGACTAGTCTAGCCAATCTCTTGTAAGTGCGAAGAAAACCCGAGTGACCACCCACTCTTGAGTAGTGGAATTCCTCTAGGAGAGGGGCAATAAATTGGGAATTTCTAGGGAGAACTAAACGGTCCTTGTAATACAATCTCCCTCCTGCCAACTTAAAACCCTCATGAGCATAAGAATTAAGCAATAAATCCTGTACCATGGACCTTAGTCTGCTGTCCTGCTGAATTTCCTGGTCTAGTCGTTCCAACTCTGGTAATTGCACCTGTGACAAACTGGCAAGCTGCTTTTGACGAGAAAGAGCATCCGCCACTAGATTTTCCTTTCTGGGTTGATAAACTATTTCAAAGTCGAATCCAATGAGCTTGCAAAGCCACTTTTGCTGCTCCTCCCCCAATGCTCTTTGTTCTATAAGAGATATTTGAGGCTTTTTTGGTCAGTTTTCACAATGAAATGCCGGCCCATCAGGTAATGCTTCCATTTCTGTATGGCAAATACAATGGCCATCAATTCTTTCTCATACACCGATTTACTCATAGCCCGAGGTGAGAAACCTTGACTGATGTATGACAAGGGCTTGTTCTCCTGCATTAAGACTGCCCCTATACCCTTCCCAGAAGCATCAGTACAAACCACAAAAGTTTTGTGAAAATACGGTAAAGCCAGCACTGGAACAGAGCACATCTGATTTTTTAAGAGTTGGAACACCTCCTCAGCTTCCTCATCCCACTTAAAACAGTCCTTCTTCAGCAAGTTGGTTAATGGTTTGGCCAACTTCCCATAATCCTTGACGAACCGCCTGTAATAGCCAGTGAGGCCCAGAAAACCCCTCAATCCTTTAATATTTTTGGGGCTAGGCCAGACTACCATTGCTTGTAGCTTAACTGGATCAGCTCGAATGCCTGCAGCTGATATGATGTGGCCCAGATATTCCACATGTGTGCTTCCAAAACAACACTTCTTCTTATTCACAACTAATTTATTCTGCCGTAGAACTTCAAATACTTGTCTTAGGTGCACCTCATGATCTGCCTACACTTGCTGTAAATGAGAATATCATCTAGGAATACCAAAACAAATCTGCGCAAAAAACTTCTCAAAATGTCATTCATGAGTGCTTGAAAAGTTGTTAGGGCATTTGTCAGCCCGAAGGGCATGACTAAGTACTCGTAATGCCCCTCATGAGTCCGAAAAGCCGTTTTTGGTATGTCCTCCTCCCTCATTCTTATCTGATGATACCCGGATTTTAAATCCAATTTCGAAAAGACTTGTGATCCACCCAACTCATCCAGTAACTCCTCTACCACTGGAATTGGGAATTTATCCGGTACCGTGAACTTGTTGAGGGCCCTGTAATCGACACACGCGCCAACTACCATCCTTCTTTCTCACCAGTATCACAGGACTAGAGTAAGGACTAGTGCTATGACGAATCCAACCAAACGACAGCAACTCAGATACTTAGCTTTCAATTTCAGTTTTTTGGTAGTAAGGGTACCTGAATGGCCTCAGATTAGGCACCTGACTACCTGGCTGCAAGTTAATGGCGTGATCACAAGCCCTTTGAGGAGGAAGAGCTCCTGTCGACTGAAATAAGTCCTGAAATTCAGAGATCTGCTTCTGTAACCCATCCCAACACGGTTCCCCTTCTGTCACAAATTCTGGTTCAGAACTTAGAAAATAATCTTCCCCCTGGTCCTGCAAAGCTTTCACCATGGACTTGAAAGAAGCTTCTGAGCGTGACAAAGCACTATCTTCTTTAATCATGACCTCCTTGTTGTCTTGCCCGGACCGAAGGGTCATTTCTTTGAAGTTGGCCCTTATCTCCCCTAATTGTGTAAGCCACTCCAACCCAAGCACCACATCGGTCCCTCCTAAATCAAACAAGTACAAATCCTGCCTGATCTGAGCTGATTGCACCTTGAGCTCCACTCCCTTGCAGACCCCCTGACACTGTACCTTGTGGCCATCTCTTACCTCTACATTATAAACCGAGGTCTCTGTCACGGGAAGGTCGAGTTGCTCCACCAGATTTTTGCTGACAAAATTACTTGAAGCATCGCAATCAACCATTACAACCACCTTTTGGCCGACGAGTTCACCCCAAGCTTTCAAGCTTTGGTTTGAAGTGAGCCCCAGCAAACAATGAAGAGAGAGCTGTAAATCTTTTCCCTTTCCCTCGTCACCTTCAATCACAGGCGTGCCCGTTCCATCTTCGTATCTTTCCTCGGTAACATCATCATCGTCATCTACCAGCAGCAGGTGAAGCTGAGGTATCGAGCATCTATGGCCGGGTTTCCAACGCTCCTCACATTTGAAACACAACCCCCTTTGATGGCGATCGCGCCATTCCGCCTGGGATAGGCGGCGGCCCTAACTTATATGGCTCTCCGTCGCGTGATTGCCGGTGGCGAGGTAGAACCCTTCGAAGACCCACCTCCTTTAGCGTTCTCCGTCGGTGGGATCTGTTGATTAGGGTTGCTCATATTTGCAACAGACGAGGAGTTGGGTTGATTTGCCCTTAGTGAACCGGTTGAAGAAAAAGGATTTGGGCCACCCTTTTTTATTTCAGATGGGCCCAAGTTCCCTTTCTAGCCCAAATTCACGCGGCCAACGTTGTGAGCCCAACCACGTCCTCCTACGCCCTCTTCTTCCCACGCGTTGTTTCTTCTTTCTATTTTCATGGAATATCTTACCATGCCAGCGAGGCTCATCATCGGAATCATCAACAATTCCTCCCGGATACTACTGCGCACCCCATTGAGCCAGGCTCCTTTGAGCAAATCCTCATCATCAAATCGCAGAACACCCACCACTTTCTCAAACTCAGCTCGAAAATCTGCTACGCTACCCCATTGTTTCAGTGTATATAACGCACGATATGGATTATCCAAGGCCTCAGGTTGGAAGCGGCTGAGCAACTCCCTTTTGAACCTTTGCCATGGTGCATTAGGGTTCATGTTCTCCACCAATAGAACCAGCTGAGGGCTTCCCCTTCCAACACAACCATCACGACGTTCACCTTTCTGACTCCGTCACTCCGTTGGCCATAAAATACCTTTCTACCTTGCTCACCTAGCCAAACGCATCCTCGACTGGAAAATAGCGGAATCTCCAACCGTCTGGAAATAGGGAAATTCATACCACCTCTCCTCCGATTTCCCGCGCCATGGAGTTCAGGTCCCATTCCCTCATCGTCGTTTTCACCGCTTCGTGAACGACTTCTTCTGTCCCTTGCCATTTCGTCCAGACGTCTGATAATCTCAGCTACACCCCTTTCACCAGTCTCCATCCTTGCTATAAGCTACACCCCTTTCACCAGCCTCCATCCTTGCTATAACTTCTTGGTGTTTAGCCTCAGTAGCATCCAACCTTAGGCATACCTCCTCGTGTCGAGCACAGCTTCTACGTAGTCCCTCCTCTAACGAATCTAAACGATGTTCCATTTGTCTCGTCCAGACCATTCCACAGAGCTCCTAGATCGGAGCTCTGATACCAATTGATAAGGTTAATCAAGTCAAGTGAATTAAAATGTAGTTAACGACAATTTCTGTAAAAGAAATACCAATTATACTGGAATATTCATCAACTATCCATGTTCTCCTTACAATACGAAAGCTTACAGGAAGATGGAAATAAAGAAATAAACTCTCAGCAACAATACAATAATAAAAGATAATGTGAAGCACATAGAGAGGCTTCACTCTCTCCCAATTCCCACAAGGGACCTAACAAACCAATTCTCCAGATACCTCACCCCTGCCTTCCCCCTTGCATATATCCTGCTCCCAACTAACTAACTCGCTTACACGCTCCCATCCACGTTGGCATTCTGCTGAGGGCCAATATGGGTATTAGAAACAGCAAGACCTCCATCCATAAGTGGACTCCCATTCAGCATGTTCACCAATGGGCCATTCTTCTGAGCATTGGGGGCCTGAGTCCTCCTATCCTTGCTTCTTTGGTACACTTGCAAAGGTACTGCATCACTTTCACACACAAAAATTTTCACATCTCTTTTTGTTCTTAAGAGGGTACCTCACTTGAGATCTTGAGAGGTTTTGTTGTTTTTTTGGTTGGTGTCCTTGATTACTTTCCTTGTTAATTTTGTTTTGGTTTCTTCACAATTTTCTGTGGTTTTTCCCAAAACTTCCCACCATTCCTGAGTCTAGGAAGCAACCAGCGAATAGAATGAAGCAAAGGCCTCACTCTTTGCAAGAGTCCAAGATGACGAGAAAATTAAGCATCATTTATGATGATCCTGATGCTACTGATTCATCTTCATCCGAAGATGAGTCAATGTTGATTGTGAAGCCAAGAAAAATAAAACGAAGCATCCGTGAGATCTCACTGCCCCTTGTTTTTGCCTTCCCTACCTCCCTTGATATTAGCTCAGATGAGGAGAATAATGGCAATGCGTTGAAGACTTGCATTGAAGGTCAACCTCAAAACAGTAAGAGGGTTTCAACCCAATCCCCTTCAATGAGGAGGCAATCTTCTGCCAAATACAGAGGTATTCGGCAGAGGAAATGGGGAAAGTGGGTTGCTGAGATTCGTGATCCGTTCAAGAGGTCCCGTGTCTGGTTAGGCACTTACAACACTGCAGAAGAGGCTTTTCAAGTCTACGAGGCCAAAAGGCTTGAATTTGAAGCTATGGCAAAGGCTCAAACCCAAAACAATGGTTCTTCTGCTGCCCTTTTGGCTGCAACTTCTGAAAAGAGTAACTACTGTAACTCTTCTGCTGCTGCTGCGGTGTCTGTTCAGAAAAGATTTCTACTGCTTTGGAGGACTCGGAGAGCGTGTTCTCACAGACATTGCCATCGTCTATGCTTGAGTTGGATACCTCAGCTTCCAATTCGATGGAGAAGGATAGTATTTCAAGCAATGAAGCCGTTGAGGCCAATGATTTTCTGACTGATCTGGCGGGGTTGGAAATACCGGATTTGAGTCTGATGAACTTGCCTCCACCATCTGCTGCTGCTGATCCGTCTGGGTCTGCTGCTGCTGATCCGTCTGGGTCTGCTGCTGCTCCATCTGGGTCTGAGCCCAACCTTGGGCTTGATATTGATTGGTTATTGTTTGATGATTATGTGCAGAGTTTTGATGATCTTGGTGACCTGCAAGATATCCAAATTTCTGGGTTTAATGACAATGAGTCTAGTGAGATTCCTGAACTTTGATGATTTTGGTGCTGATTAGTTCACTGGTTGGACTGAGGAACCCCTCAATATACCTTGCGCTTAAGTTATGTAGCTACATGTGACACTGACTGAGAGTACTACATTATTAGTTTTGTAATGCCTAAAGTTAATTTTTATTATAGTTTTGTGAGATCTCAAGAAATGCTAAACCAATTCCTGAGTGAGGCAGTGGTTTTATGAGTTGTTTCTCTCTCTCTCTTGGGAAACATAAACCAGAAATTAATGAACTCCATCCTGCTGGAAAAGAAAGTAAACTCAATACTAAATATATATTAAGATCAATGATGAAAGCAGGCAGAGGGGTTGCATTTTCAAAAGAATGAATATACCTGATACTTCATTACTTCTTGAACCTTCTGCGGAGCAAAACTTTCAAGTGGCCCAGGCTGCATTATGGCCTTTTTTAAACACCTCCATGATAAAGTTTGAGCCAAGCCTTTAATAGTAAGAAAATGATTTGATTTTTCCAGGAGCACAACACCGAAATTGTCATTATGCAAAGTTGAATATGCTATTACTCCTCTTAATTTTATGACTTCAATTCAAGGCCCCTCAACGGGAGAGTCAAATGGTGCTTTGTGTAAAGAACCAATTCATCTCAAAAGCTTAAGTTATTGGGTGAGACTATATTAATGGTTTTTATATATACGCTCCATCACTTTAGAGCCCACTGGGCTTGAGGGTGAACAATGCACAGATCCACCTACCTGTGCTAAGAAACTCCACAATACTTAATTAATTATTAATTAAATGGGGGCGGTGAGGATCAAACCTGTGATACCGAGGCTCTTATACCATGTAAAGAATCAATTCAACCCAAAAGTTTAAGCTACTAGGTGAGGATATTGTTAGAAATAATATTAGTCTATTATTATTAGATTAGTCTAGACTGTGGGCTTAGCCCATTAGGTCTTTTAGCATTAGGTCTTTTAGTCTCTATAAATAGAGAGCCTTCTTGTACAGTTATACACACTTGAATATACAATAATATTCAGATTCAATTTGGTATCAGAGCTCTTGATCCGAGGGCTCTGCTTCCGTATATATATATCTTTTCCTTTCTTATTTACTGCCGTGCATCATACCGGCAAACCCTTTTACCGCCGTGCATCATACCGGCAACCTTTTTCAACCCTCCGAACATTGTTAGACCCTTTTTCGATCTTAGATCGTCATCCTCCTTCATTATTTGACCGGAAAACACTGTTCACATCACCAGAAACACTGTTCCGTCACTGTTCATCACTGTTCCGGCTACCTTTCCGGCGAGAAACCACGCGATCAGGCTCCCCTCCGCAGGCGACCGTTTCTGTCCAAGACCCGTCCCAAACGGCCGCAGCACGCGCCCCCACGCGCCACCACAGCTGTCTGCGCGTGGGCCTCACCTGCCACCTCTCTCCGGCGTGTGTGCACTGTTTCGGCCACCTTTTCCGGCCAAACCAAGGCAGACAGGCTCGCCTCTGCCTCCTCCTTCCAGATCCGGTGCCCGTTCGTTGTGGGTCTCTTCCGTTCGGGGGTTTCCAGTGCAAAAGTTGCTACTTTGTTTCCTTTTTCGCGTGACTTTTACCGTTTTTTGGTCATCTGATTGCTGTTTCTGATGGAAGGAACCAGTAAACATCCTTCCGGCATCATTTCAAGTGCTATTCCATCTATCACAACTCTGAAATTGACCGGATCTGCCACTTACAAGACCTGGTCTACCTCCGTTAAGATCTGGTTTACCGGTCAGGGCCATGACAAACATCTCACCACTAAGACGACTGATATTTCCAAAGATCAGACGTCTGAATGGGAGAAAGTTGATGCTCAGCTCCTCAGTATTCTTTGTCAATCCATTGATTCATCTCTTATCAATATTTTCATTCCCTTTGGAACCTGCTATGATGTGTGGACGGAAGCCAAAAACCTCTACACCAATGATATTCAGCAACTTTATTCCATTGTCTCCCAGATGATGGATTTGCGCAAATCACCTGAAGCTCGTATGGAAGTTTATGTTGGTAAGATTCGTTCTTTGATGCAGGAATTTTTGGCTATGTTACCTTATGCTGCGGATGCTACAGTGTACAAGGACGCAAGTGGAGCTTCTCTTTACGGTTGTGACTCTCTCTGGTCTCCCTGACGGATTAGAAAGTGTTTGTGAGAACATTCTAACCAGTACTGAGATTCCCAGCAAATCCCAGACCTTTCAGCGCCTTCTGAATCTTCAAGATAAGGTGGCCCCCGCACACGTGCCAGCTACTGACTCTACTGCTCTCTCGTCTGATTCTGCTGCTTTAGTCTCTCGTGGTAATTGGAACAATGGTGGACGCGGTCGTGGTCGTGACCGCGGACAAGGCGGTCGCGGGCCCATGACATCATATGGCCCAGGCGAGCGCGGACAAACGACGTCATATGGACAGGGTGGCCGAGGACAAAGGCCTCGGTGTAGTTATTGCCAAAATCTGGGCCACATTGAAGAACGTTGCTACAGAAAGTACCCTCACTTGAAGCCACCACATATGAACTTTGCTCAAACAGATGTTGTGCCGCTCTCTACCGGATCAGTGACTATTTCCGCTGCAGACTATGAGGCCCTTCTCCAGAAGAGTTCTTCTCAGCCACCTGCTCCAGATACTGGTAATCATGTTGCTTGTTTTTCTCAATCGTCTCTTGGACCCTGGATAATAGACTCAGGTGCTACTGATCATCTTTGTGGTAATAAGGATCTTTTTACTTCCCTTACCTTTTCTAATAATTTTCCCTCTGTTACTCTTGCTGATGGCACCAAGGCTCCTGCTCGTGGCATTAGGCAAGCCAAACCAACTCCCTTCTTGACTTTAACCTCTGTTTATTACATCCCTGACATTCCTTTTAATTTAATTTCTGTTAGTCAATTGACCCATTCTCTTTCTTGCTCTATCACCTTTTCTAAAAAGTCTTTTTCTTGCAGGATCCGGGTACGGGGAAGACGATTGGAGCGGGCAGTGAGTCACGAGGTCTCTACTATCTGCATGCACCCTCTGCTGCAGTTGCATGCTCTCTCACAGAGTCTCCTGAGCTTCTCCATAGCCGTCTGGGTCATCCAAGTCTCTCGAAGCTTCAACATATGGTTCCTTTTTTGTCAGGTCTTAAGTCTTTGAATTGTCAATCTTGTCAGCAGGGAAAGCATACTCGCTCTTCCTTTGCTAGTAGAGTCAATAAGAGAGCTGCTGCTCCCTTTTCTATTGTTCATTCTGATATTTGGGGTCCGAGTCGGACTATGTCAGTTTTGGGTTTTCAGTATTTTGTAACCTTTATTAATGATTTCTCCTGTTGCACTTGGGTTTATTTAATGAAAAATCGTTATGAGTTATTCTCAATTTATCAAAAGTTTTGTGCAGAAATAAAAACTCAATTTGGTGCTTCTATTCATCAAATCTTGCGCAGTGATAATGCAAAAGAGTATGTGTCTCTTGAATTTTCCAAATTTCTGGATTCACATGGGACGATACACCAGACTACCTGTCCCCACACTCCACAACAAAATGGAGTCGCTGAACGTAAAAGTAGACATCTAGTTGAAACTGCACGTACCCTTCTCATTCATATGAACGTCCCACTCCGTTTTTGGGCAGATGCTATTATCACCTCATGTTTCCTTATCAACCGCATGCCCTCTTATGTGCTAAATAATGATGTTCCCCACAGTATTTTGTTTTCCGAAGCACCTTCTTATCCTCTGCCTTTACATATTTTTGGCTGTACTTGTTTTGTTACTGATCTTACTCCAGGTAAAGACAAGTTGACATCCAAGGCCTTCAAATGTATTTTCCTTGGATATATACGTTTTCAAAAAGGGTATCGTTGCTATTCTCCTGATCTCAAGCGTTATATCGTTTCTGCTTATGCCACTTTCCTTGATCAACAGCCTTTTCACTCTACTCCGTCTCCAGTCTCA